AATCCTGGACTGTCCTCTAAACATTGCTCAAATATTTCGCTAACAGCACACCAGTCATTTATACTCCATCAGTTTCACACCATTTCAGAATGTGTGCTGATCATGTGACTACCCTCCACCAATGAAACTGCACCCTCTATAATAACACAGCTAGCTCCCTCTACTATTCTAGAGTAATCCTCGCTTTTGAGAATTGGCTGGTACAGACTAGAAACACTGGCATATCAGTGAGGAGGAAAGGTGGGAAATGGATGGGAGAAGGTAAGCACCTATCAGAAATACATTTCAGTGTAAGAAAATGTTAACTTCCAAAACAGTACCACCTCTTCTTACCCAACACTAAAATCCCACATTGCAAAGGTGGAGGGGCTGGTGAAAGCACATCAGTATCCAATCAAGTGGAAAGTGACCACAATGAAAGAACAGGTGTGCAAGAATATGAAAATAAAGCACACCTGTGGGGTATAGCACTACTTATGCAACCCATTAGTTAACAAAGCAACAAAAAGAAGGCAGAACTGAACTGGGAGTCACCAATGCATTCAGAAAAGAGATGTACAGCCTTGAATCAGTGGAAAAGTGCTGTATTACCATGACATGAAACAGCATGGCATTAACAAACACAAAGTCTAGTGTGGATGTGACAATGGGCCTGTATAAGTATGTACCAAGGGTAGTGTCTTGGGTTACATCAGAGTATGTCAAGTGCAAAGAACAAAGCCACTCAGGAGAAACCTCCTTGGTCCACCACTCCAGCAACTGGGAACCGGAAGTGGCAGGGACTCCCATTCTCCATTAGAAGAGAATGGGAAGCTATACACATTGGGAAGTCCAGAGGAGGAGTGGCACACCCGAAGCAGTGCAATGGGTGTCTGCAATTCCAATTTTGAAAAGCAGGAGGACCCCAATTAGAGGAATCATTGGCCAGTAGGGATGGGCAGAAATCCCCATCTGCTTTACTCATGAAGTCCATGAGTGTCGGTCCTTTATATATGAAACAGTGATAAAAAAAAATAATATTAAGCATACCTGACCAGGCAACACCAGGTGGGATCCTAAAATATTATGTATATCAACTAAAGATAAAAAAATAATATGGTGACTAACCTCAGTTAAAGGTGAACAAACGTGTAGAATTGCCGAGGAGGAAGATGATATCCACCCGAGTAAGACACAGTTAGTTTATGCAGATAATGTGTGACAAATGTATTAGGACTTGACCACATACCAGCCTGAACAATCTCCTCTAAAGGATGGCTGTTTCAAGCAGCTAAAGATATAGTTAGGTGACGAATTAGTGCAAAGAAACATTATGTAATGGCGAGCTTCCATGGACAAGTCAGAATATGCGAACTATACTAGTTGACAAACCCAACCAGTGAGCATAATAGGTGATAGATCATGGGAAATAGAGGAATTCCATGGGACAAATAGACAGGAACAAAAACCATGAAAGGAGGCAGTATGAGCCACATAACATAGTAGAGAATTAACTGGACAAAGTAGTTGATCTGCATCCAAATGGGAGTACAGGTGAGAAATGGAAGGTAAGGAAATAGGAGAAAAGGTTAAACAACCTTCCCAGGCAGCCTAATCCAGATAGTGGATAACTTATGAAGAATGGTAAAGGATACAGAAAACATTGATGGCATAAATATTGTAACAATGACAACTGCATGGCAGATGGAGGAGGAAATAGATCTTAAGGGAAGGATGGTACAAGGAACATATTGCAATGGATTTAAAGGGAGAACTGGACAGGGCATGAAGGACAACATTGAGATCCCAATCCGGCAGAACAAAGAAACATGGTGGATGGGTAAGAAAAAGGAACGGAGAAAGAGGGAAATAACCAGGAAGGAGAAGGCTTTCCAGAAGTGGGAGAATGAATGTATTCAACAGGGCAGCGCTACAACTAGCAACAGTTGAAACTGACAAACCCTGATCAAACAACCAGGTGAAGAACTGGGACAGGTGAGGAACAGAATGATGGGATGGTTGAAAGCCAGGGTGATTGGACCAAAGTCTGAAGTAAGACCGATGCCTCTGGTACATAGACAAGGAGGAAGGGTAATGGTATGGGCAAGGAAAGATGCCACATGAGGAGTGAGTCCCTGAGCTGAGGTAAGGGACCAGACAAAAGCCATGCAGAACATGACAAGGAGTGGTCTAGATAAGGGAAATTATTCTGGAGAGGAGTCTGATTGAAGGGTAAGCATACAGGTGAAGACCCCTCCAATCTTGACTGAAAGCATCTCCCCCACCCCCCACTGAGAGCTGAGTGGTGAGGAACTGGAGACCAAAAGGAAGGAAGTTTGGCATTCCAGTGAGTGACAAATGCATCTATATGCAGTGTTCCCAGTGGAAAACACACACCCACTGAAATATCTGAGGATGAAGGAACCACTCCATGAGGAGAACTTAGGACAGGATAAGTAATTGAGCACAAGATTCATAATTCCAGGAATCTGACATCCCAGAACCATCATGTCATGGTCGTTGGTCTAGTACAGGAGATCCAGAGTCTGAAATCAAAGATCTGGACTTGGTTTCCCCTTGTTGGTAATATAGCTGATAACAGTGGAATTGTCAGAATGAACCATAACCATCAGCCACCACAAGAGTGGGAGGAAGTGATACAAAATCAGATGAACTGTCAAAAGTGCTAGGACGTTTATATGGAGAGTAGCCTCCTTGACTGACCACTGACCCAGAATCTCTTAGGAGTCTAGAAAAGCCCCCAACCCACAAAAGAACTATCTGTGAACACATGAGACTTGGGACAAGGCAAAGGAATGAGAACACTCACTATGGTAAAGCCCTTGTCGAGCCACCAAGCATGGTTGGCTCTGATCCCAGGTAGGAGGTTGATGGGATGGCCCAAAGGATTGTGGGAGAAGTTCCACTGGTCGAGAAGCATCCATTGAAGGGAATGCCTGTGTGCCCCCCCCCCCTCCGAAGACCCAGCAAGTGAAGATGATGTGCGAAAGAGCATAACACTCAACAAAACACATATGGAACTGAAGAAAGACCAAACAGAAGTGCCTAGAAGTGGACAATAGAACCCTCATGGATGAACCAAAGAAAAGAAAATGACACTGGGGCAACTGGAATACGAAGATAGGCATCAGTCACATTGAACCTGGTCATCCAAAGTCCAGGGGAAAAAAAAACATCGAAGTGAGAGGTAGAACTCCATGGTGAAGCAAGGTGTCTCCAGATAGGTATTCAGATCTGTGATGGGTGTTTAATCTCCCATGTTTTGGGGGACAACAAATAGATAGGAGTAAAATCCCAGTTGAGTGGGCACCATCTGTTCAAGAGCTCCTTTGTGTAGGAGGTCTCGAACAGACTCAGAAAGATGACTAGACAAGGAAAAGGATAGAGGGAGCAGAACTGAAGGCAGAAACTTTCAGATAGAACCCATAGAACTCATGGAACTGTTTTGAAATGTAGCCAAAAAGACACAAAAACTAAACATACTTTGAGAAAGTACTCATGACTAAAGAACTAACAAAACCTAGAAATTTATAGTCTACAAATATATAAAAATAATGAACCTGCAAAACTATGAAATTCAACATAAAACAATAAGCAAAAACTTAAAGTACAAAACCAATAAAGGAGCTTAGAATATAAAAGATACATAAATATCAAAGTCCACTCAAAGAATCGATAAGAGAAAGGGCAAAAAAGTAAAACCTACCATGAAGAACATGAGAATAAAAAGGTACCCAGTTAACAATAATACATTTAGACTGAAATCTAATCCCCAAATAGATATGAGTAGTAATAAAGAAAAAGGAACTGAATAACACAAACAGTGAAAAGAAGTAGAAATAACAAACCAACACACCCACAAAATTGGCCAAAATTACAAATACCCAAACATTAACTATAGTACAAAACCCGTACATATACCAACAATTAAACAAAAACAAGGTATTAATCAAACTTTAAACACAAATTTAAACTAAAGTAAGTTAGATGGTAAAAAAATTATTAAAATCTAACTTACCAAACACTGAGCAGAGAAGACATGAAAGATGCATGCAGAAATTAGGTCCATCCACACAACTTCACATATAACTGATGGGAGTGAGGAATACTCACTGAAAAGCTTACCATAGATCTCCTGTGAAAAAGAACAATACTTAACCCAGCAGATTACATAGAGGCGTGGTAACAGGTGGAAAGTGCTGATCAAGCACAATCAAAATTTTGTAGTCGCATGGAGAGCGAGTTAAAGCACATGTCTATACACTAGAATACCAATCAAGAAAGTGAGGATTACTCTAGAATAGTAGAAAGGTACCTGATGATGACAAAACCTTGTCAAAATTTTGTACATTTTCTGTTATGTTAAACTTATATTAAAGTTTTTCTTCATTACCCATCAAGTTGTCTCCAAGCATTATTAGTCTCAAAGTGGGTTCCTCATCATCAAATTAGTGGAAAGTAGTCACATGATCAGCAAATGTTCTGAAATGGCATAAAACTAATGGGATATAAAAGACTGGTGCACTGTTAGCAAAAACTTTTAGCAATGTTTAGAAGACAGTCCAGGATCGAAATAGCTGTGGGTGAGTAGAGGTAAGACCATTTTGAAAGTACCAATTGATAGTCTAAAAAAACTTGGTACCTTTCATGCCTGATTTATGTTATCATATAAATAAGGCTAGAGGACTGAAATATTCTTTATTCAATATTTTTATGTTTCAATATATACTTCTTATGCTCAATATGGTGTGTAATATTGAGTAAAAATTATATAAACCAAAACAATACTTTCTTTTTGCAACATTTCATTAAAATTCAAATAGCCATTGATAGAACTCATAGTATAGTAAAATATATTAACTCATTCTTATTTTACAAGAAAAACTGTTTTCTCTGTGATGAGGTTTCAATTATGTTGAATGAGCCATCATAAATTTTAAGCCATATTAGACTCCGAATTGGACACTGTATATATATCCTAAACTTTTTCTTTTGTGTAGGTATATGGATGGGGTAGGCAACGTAAGAATGCTGTGAGCAATGTTTCTCTCAAAATTTACAAAGGACAGATAACAGCTTTGCTTGGACACAATGGTGCAGGGAAAACAACAACAATGAATATGCTAACTGGTAGGAGTTTATGATAGAGTATTGAATCATAAAGTGAATATTTTTAAAAGAGAAAATATTGTTGTAAGCTATATATATTTAATTTGGTAATTTATTTGTTGGCTAGAGGAAGCCATGGGCCCCAGTGATAGTGTAATGATCTGCCAAAATATCTAGAACAAGGCTTAGATTACAGATATAAGATAGTTACTTAAGGATACAGTGTTGAATCAGTCAGTATATTTTTGTGAAGTATATGGATCTGTGTACAAGTAAGTTGATTTTAAATTAGTCCTGATGCTGTTAGAGAGGTTTGGACATCATTTTAAACATAGGACCTCAAGAAGTTACAATAATAAACAAATATTCAACCTTGCAGAAACTTTAAAGTAGGAAATAAACAAATTTGTGATTGTTATGTGGACTGGATGTTGAATTATTTTCCATTGATGATTTGAAAGAACTTGTTCACAAAAGTACAATGTTACAACAATTGATGTCAGAAGTGGGATATTGTTTTGGTTAAAATAATATAGAAATTTGACTAAACTCCAACTGTCATTCAACGTTTTCCCCCTAGAGACACAGCAGTAAGTATGAAGGATTATAACACTAAACACTGGGTTTCAATATCCATGGTGGGCATGGCACAGATAGCCCATAATGTAGTTTTGTGCTTAACTATAAACTATCAAACATTTAACTTTCAAATGACCACAAAGGCACAAAGTGAAATAGGACACCTGCTAGACATGACAAAACAATGGAAAAAAGAACAAACAGAATGAAACAGAGCATTAAACAACAAGAAGAAAGGGACAAAAAAATTAAAAGAACATGATGGAAAAATAAAAGATCAAGAAAACAGAACAGAAGATTATAAGAAAGAGATAGGAAAATAAAAAGAAGACCAAGAAGAGAGTTGAATAAAAGAAGATCAAAAAGAAAGAGATATATTACATAAAGAAGAATTAAAATTAAAAATAAATCTGATTGAAGATGATAGAGGACACAGAAGGATTACAAGAAGTTTGAAGACATCAAAGAAGTTGTCAGTTTTATGAGGGTTGGGATTCTTCACAGTAGGTGTCTGTGTCTTGTTGGAGCTAAATTCAAACAATAAATGGACAGCACACAATCCACTTGTTTTAAAATAATGTATTCAAAATAAATAAAGCATATGTACTAAAATTATTTACACTATAGGGTATCACAGTTGTATCTAAAACTAAATAATTCTCTTTTCTTGTGAAAATTCCACACAGGCTGGTTCAATTACTTTAGAACCCAATTGATAAGACAGAACATTTTTCTATATTTTTTTCTTACTATGCAATCTGCAATAAATTCACATACATTACCCCAAGGGTTATCATAGTTGTACCCAGAACTTTAGAATAAGTGTCTCCTTTTCGTGAAAGCCCACACTGGCAGGTTCAATTACTTTAGAACACCCTTTGACAAGACAAGTTCTTTTTCTTTATATCTGTTAAACTGCGAAACTCACTTTAGATATCACCCATTATGGCTAAACTAACAAACACGCAGTCTAACTTCACTTTCACCAACTGGATTTTTTTCTGACCAAACAAAACTTTTTACTGACTTTACTTTTAATAATCTTGTTATGAAAACTAAATAATCAATAAATATTAGATCACTAAATGAACCAATTAATAACTCTTACACTAAATAGTTTTGTATGTCCAACAATAAGCCCTTCTTCAAGAAAACTATTCACAATTCTTTTTTACTTTATATAAAGACTGTTCTCAGTTCAAACACAGTCTATTTGTACAGTCTGCGCCAACATTTGTAGTCCCCTTCAATATGAAATCTGGAGTTCTGGAGGTACAACACCCACCTCATGATCCTTGCACTGTCGATTTTGCACCTCTGGATGTAAGCAAGTATTTGATGGTCCATCTGGATTATGAACTCCTTCCCATATAAGTAGTTCTGGAACTTCTGGATGGCAGATGTGATGGCCAGACACTCTTGTTCAATCATGGAATAATTCTTCTCACTTCTCAACAGCTTTTTACTTATTACTTACAAACATTACCAGAAACAGTCCATCTTCATGTTCTTCTAAGAGTACTGCTCCAATTCCAATGTCTGAAGCATCAACCTGAAAGATGAACATTTTGTTGAAGTCTGGCATTCTAAGTATTGGCGAACTTCCCAACATGTTCTTAAACTTCTGGAATGCCATCTGCTGTGGTTGTTCCCACTTCACCTTTCTTTGTCAGGTCAGTCAATGATGTAACAACTTTTGCATAGTTTAGGATTAACTTCCTGTAGTATCCCACTCTAACCCCAAGAAGGAGCTGGTGCATCTTGTATGTGGGTTAGCTTCTCCTTTTCCATGGTTATATTTTGGTCAACAAACTCCAGCACAGAATAGCCAATGTAGTACTTGGATGATCTGATTGTCAGATCTGCTGCCCTCACTCATCTGAAAAGCTAAAATTTTCAGGTGGTTTTCCCATCTGTCTGTGTGGGACAGAATGTCTTCCATGTAATGCTCATTGTTGGTAGTTTTGTGTAACTTCCTCCTCCTCATGCAGTTGAATGTTGCTGCTAAATTGACTAACCCTAATGGCATCCTCTTAAATTGGTAACATTCGTCTCATATCATAAATGCAATCTTCTCTTTAGATTCTGTTTCCATTGGGATCTGCCAATAACCTATACTGAGGTTGATCTTTGAAAAAATCTGGCCCCATCTAGTTTTGCCATGATAACCTCTGTGTTACCCATAGGATCAGAGTTGAACTTCGTCATGAGGTTCAACTTCTGGAAATCTATGCAGAAGCAGTTTGAGCCATCCCTCCTCTTTACGATGACCACTGGTAAATAATAGACTGAATTGGAAGGCTTGAAGATTCCAGCTTCTAACATTGTCTCAACTTTCTGCTTTATCAGGTCTCTCACCAAATAGAGCATCTGATAGAGCTTCACCTTGACTGGATCCTTGGTCATGGTCACGATCGTGTGTTGCACAAGGTCTGTCTTGCCTGGTCTATCTGTGAAGACATTTACATACTGGCACAGTAGATCTCTTCGTTCTTTCTTCTGCTTGCCAATAAGTTCTTCATTGATTTTGATGTCTTTGTATGTTCCATCTCCACCCAGTGGTTTTAGGTGTAATAGGTCTTTATCTTCTATAATAAAGTCCCTGTTTTCAGATCCTGTGACTATGACAGCCATACCTGCAACCTCCATATTTGCCTTAATAGCTGCACCTGTTAGGTTTTATTCCTTCTTTAAGTACTTCAACGTGGTAGATCTTACTGTTCCCATCCACTTTTACTTTATAGTCCATTCTGTTGAGAACTTCCTGTACTTCAAAAGGTCCTTTTCGCTGCAGGGTGAGTTTGTTGTTGTCTGTGGGTAGCAGAACTAAGACCTTCTATCTGACCTTGAAATATCGATCCTTGGCCTTCTTGTTATAAAAGTGTTTCTGACTGCCTGTCATGGTGTGGCTTCCTCAGTAGAACTGCTTTGATAGGTCAAATACAGTACTACTTTCTGGTTCTCTGATTTGTTAGTCTCTTTCCCCTTTATCTTGTGCTTTACTTTTTCGGACATTATTCTAATGTTTCTGCAGTGATGGTTCTTTCTTCTATGCTTCTTTCAGCTCCTGTAAACCTACATTATGGATGTCACTTTTCGTGACTTGAAGGATCTTGATATTTTGCTTGCTCTTCTTCTTTTAAGCTCTTGTGTTGACTGTAGATTCCTCATCAGTCTTCTTTCTGTCTGGTTTCCTCCGAACCTCTGCTGCCTGGTATATTTACAATCACCAAATCATACATGGGTGCCTTCATACACATGGTCTATAGTTCTCCAACATAATATGGAGTGTTCACCTTTATTTTTGCTATGGGAAAACTTTCTCACTGTCCCATCAATTAGCACACATGAGTGTACCTTGCCTATCATCTGACCATCAATACAAGACTAGTTCTTACTGCTGCACTACTGCACCCATAGTTTTGTAAGACCTTCACTTTCTTGTCCCTGACATAGCCTTCACCTACTGGCATGTTGTGGTTTGTCTCAATATTTGTCACATGCTCCAATCACCACTGGCACTGTTGATACATTTGTGAACTTGAGCTGACCATCAGTCATACATTGATTAATCATAGAAACAGCACTTCTTTCTTGTGGTGAACCTGATGGGTTGTCTCTGTTCCGTTTCTTCTGGCAGAAGCATCCATGGTGATACTCTTGTCTTGTTTCTTATCAGCACCATTTTTGTAAGTAGCTCCAGCTGCTTTATGTTTAGATTTCTGCTGTTGCTTGTTGGTGATAGACTTGCATTCACTTGCAATGTTCCCTACTTTACAACAAATGTTGCACCTCTTCTTTTTTTTGTCTGTTAAGTTCTTCTTTGTATCCTGTTTCTGGTCAGCCACCCCTGGTTTCAACGTTAACTGGTTATTTTTAGATTTTCCATATACATCCTCCATGGGCTTCCATGTACTGTTCTGCCAGGTTGATCATCTCATCCACATCTTGTGGTGCTCTCTCCTTTAAGAACAGTGACATGTCAGTTGAGCATGTGATCATAAACTGTTCATGTATTAGTAGATCTACCAGTCTCTCAACTATTTTCACACTTGGCTATGTCAGTCCATCTTGTAGAGTATTTCCATAGATGTGCCACAAACTGAAATACAGGTTCTTCAGTATGAGGTTTGACTTTTCTGAACTTCCAACAAAAACCTTCTTCGGTAAGTTCATAGCTTTTCAGCAAGGCCACTTTTAACTTGTCAGAGTCCATAGTATCTTCTGATGCCATGCCTGCACATACTTGTAGGCCTTTTCCTGTGAGAAGTGGGCTGAGACAGACTGCTCAGTCACCTTTCTCCCAGTTTTGACTTTGGGCAAATCTTTCATATCTCTCAAGAAAGCATCCATGTCATCTTTCTGTTCATGAAATTTAGGCAGCTTCGGTTGGCTTGCCCTGACCCCATTGTCATCCTTGGGTTCTTTAACTTTCTATTGGG